TACTAATTTCGTCCATCATTTATATGAATTTAGTATCCACAACTAGTTTCTTCATTTTATTTAGGGAAAATCGTCCAAAACGTCCCTTATATTTTGTAAAATAACTTTTTTCGTCCCTCACTTTTAAAAGTGTAATTTTATATCCCTTACATATTCACATCGTACAAATTTAGTCCCTAACTAGGTTTTCGATCATTTTTTGGCCGGAATCCATCATGTGCAAGCACATGATCATTTTTTAAGGGTAAATTTGTCAAATTATATTTTACATAATCTCATCTATAGTCCTCCACATTTTATAAAATAAATTTTTTCGTCCCTCATATTTTATAAAATGATTTTTTTCATCCCTCACATTACACAAAATGAATTTCTCCATCCCTCACATTTCAAAAAATGAATTTTTCATTTCTCACTAATTATGTGTATGAATACATTTTTTTAAACACACACACACACACATATATATCTATTTGATTTTGCTTAACAATAATAGTATAAACACATGTATGTAATCGGGCCCAACTTGTGGGCTATCTTCTCTTTTTGTATGATTATAACTAATATTTACCAATAGAACCTTAATTTTCATATTCTTATTGTATTTTGACCGAAAATAGCTTTATTTGTATACAGGGTACAGCAGCAGTGCAAAATGATGAATTAATCAGCACACCTCTGCTTCCAAAGATGTCCTAGAATCTCCCTTAATGGAACACAAGTCTTGAAACAAAGTAGCCCATTTGACTGCTTTTCGCAGCCTACCAATCAGATAGCCACGCTGACGTGCATTTGGACCATCTGGCAGCGTTTTCTTTTCCATAGCATGGCTCCAAGCTCTTTCTGCTGTATAAAGAACCACATGAAGATACCTACAGTGTCCCCAACCACCACGCAGAATCAGGATAGATTAACGACCATTAAGAAATTATTAATGAGAGACAAAACAGCATATTTGTTCTTCAAATAGCAAAAGCGAAATAAAAACATTTACCAACTGTAATGTCAATCAAATTCAACCATTGGTCTTGGCAATCTATTACCTCACTTCAGTGACCATAGAAGCTGTAATCGCCCTTTTACTATATTTACCACGGCCAAGCGTGAATTTCAACGACTTGTACAATCTCCTGAGCCGAGCAGTACAGTACCTCCTAAAAAATTTGCAAAAACTGGTCAATTTCACATTCCCTCAAAAGTACAACTGTATCACACCACATTTTTCATAAATTTAACCCTGCCACCTCCAATGATCAATGTCATAAATTCCCTCATAAACCTATATAGAGCACACTTACGCTTATATACTGGTAAAAACAATATCAAACGGCATTTCTTACAAAAATTAAGCCTACTTCCCGGAACTTCATCGTACCAAATTACTCATAAACATATACCATAAGCGTACAAGTGTAGGTTATACCGGTAACGAGCGTAATCGCCAAACAGCAATCCATGCTGCATCTGAGCGGATTTCAAGAGCTGCAAAACTGTAAATTCACCAAAAAAAAACTAAATTATCACCTCAAAATTAGCTGTCTAGAGCTTTATGGGAGAGTAAATTACCATTGATAGAGAACCTAGGGCTATTAATCTGATCAACGGATTCCGAATTCTGGTTGTCCACATCCATAGCAGAGGAGTTGTTCTCTTTGGCCATATCGTTAATGTGAAATCTCCGTCAGATCTTAAATTTGGCGTCGTCTTTATCGGAATTAGCCCGACAGCTTGAATGTAGGTGGCTTGAAAGATTCTGAAGATGTCCAAAATGCCCCTGGCTTGTGGCACACTGCCGGCGGCGGGGTTTTCTGGTTTAGTCGCTGAGTGAACGTAAATGAAGCCTGTTTGGTCTCGACATAAAAATCCTAGTCTCCTCTGCGTTGTCTACTGTTTAAAGGATTATGACAAGTACTGGAGTCTAATGTGTAATTCAAATTGTTTATGGGTACGTGGACAACAGACTTAAAGCCTAGGGGTCATTGTTAAATTTATCATAGCTTACTAATTTCGTCCATCATTTATATGAATTTAGTATCCACAACTAGTTTCTTCATTTTATTTAGTGAAAATCGTCCAAAACGTCCCTTACATTTTGTAAAATAACTTTTTTCGTCCCTCACTTTTAAAAGTGTAATTTTATATCCCTTACATATTCACATCGGACAAATTTAGTCCCTAACTAGGTTTTCGATCGTTTTTTGGCCGGAATCCATCATGTGCAAGGCACATGATCATTTTTTAAGGGTAAATTTGTCAAATTATATTTTACATAATCTCATCTATAGTCCTCCACATTTTATAAAATAAATTTTTTCGTCCCTCATATTTTATAAAATGATTTTTTTCATCCCTCACATTACACAAAATGAATTTCTCCATCCCTCACATTTCAAAAAATGAATTTTTCATTTCTCACTAATTATGTGTGTGAATACATTTTTTTAAAAACACACACACACATATATATATATATATATATATCTATTTGATTTTGCTTAATAATAATAGTATAAACACATGTATGTAATTGGCCCCAACTTGTGGGCTATCTTCTCTTTTTGTATGATTATAACTAATATTTATCAATAGAATCTTAATTTGCATATTCTTATTGTATTTTGACCGAAAATAGCTTTATTTGTATACAGGGTACAGCAGCAGTGCAAAATGATGAATTAATCAGCACACATCTGCTTCCAAAGATGTCCTAGAATCTCCCTTAATGGAACACAAGTCTTGAAACAAAGTAGGCCATTTGACTGCTTTTCGCAGCCTACCAATCAGATAGCCACGCTGACGTGCATTTGGACCATCTGGCAGCATTTTCTTTTCCATAGCATGGCTCCAAGCTCTTTCTGCTGTATAAAGAACCACATGAAGATTCCTACAGTGTCCCCAACCACCACGCAGAATCAGGATAGATTAACGACCATTAAGAAATTATTAATGAGAGACAAAACAGCATATTTGTTCTTCAAATAGCAAAAGCGAAATAAAAACATTTACCAACTGTAATGTCAATCAAATTCAACCATTGGTCTTGGCAATCTATTACCTCACTTCAGTGACCATAGAAGCTGTAATCGCCCTTTTACTATATTTACCACGGCCATGCGTGAATTTCAACGACTTGTACAATCTCCTGAGCCGAGCAGTACAGTACCTCCTAAAAAATTTGCAAAAACTGGTCAATTTCACATTCCCTCAAAAGTACAACTCTATCACACCACATTTTTCATAAATTTAACCCTGCCACCTCCAATGATCAATGTCATAAATTCCCTCATAAACCTATATAGAGCACACTTACGCTTATATACTGGTAAAAACAATATCAAACGGCATTTCTTACAAAAATTAAGCCTACTTCCCGGAACTTCATCGTACCAAATTACTCATAAACATATACCATAAGTGTACAAGCGTAGGTTATACCGGTAACGAGCGTAATCGCCAAACAGCAATCCATGCTGCATCTGAGCGGATTTCAAGAGCTGCAAAACTGTAAATTCACCAAAAAAAAAACTAAATTATCACCTCAAAATTAGCTGTCTAGAGCTTTATGGGAGAGTAAATTACCATTGATAGAGAACCTTGGGCTATTAATCTGATCAACGGATTCCGAATTTTGGTTGTCCACATCCATAGCGGAGGAGTTGTTCTCTTTGGCCATATCGTTAATGTGAAATCTCCGTCAGATCTTAAATTTGGCGTCGTCTTTATCGGAATTAGCCCGACAGCTTGAATGTAGGTGGCTTGAAAGATTCTGAAGATGTCCAAAATGCCCCTGGCTTGTGGCACACTGCCGGCGGCGGGGTTTTCTGGTTTAGTCGCTGAGTGAACGTAAATGAAGCCTGTTTGGTCTCGACATAAAAATCCTAGTCTCCTCTGCGTTGTCTACTGTTTAATGGATTATGACAAGTACTGGAGTCTAATGTGTAATTCAAATTGTTTATGGGTACGTGGACAACAGACTTAAAGCCTAGGGGTCATTGTTAAATTTATCGTAGCTTACTAATTTCGTCCATCATTTATATGAATTTAGTATCCACAACTAGTTTCTTCATTTTATTTAGGGAAAATCGTCCAAAACGTCCCTTATATTTTGTAAAATAACTTTTTTCGTCCCTCACTTTTAAAAGTGTAATTTTATATCCCTTACATATTCTCATCGGACAAATTTAGTCCCCAACTAGGTTTTCGATCATTTTTTGGCCGGAATCCATCATGTGCAAGGCACATGATCATTTTTTAAGGGTAAATTTGTCAAATTATATTTTACATAATCTCATCTATAGTCCTCCACATTTCATAATACAAATTTTTTCGTCCCTCATATTTTAAAAAATGATTTTTTTCATCCCTCACATTACACAAAATGAATTTCTCCATCCCTCACATTTCAAAAAATGATTTTTTCATTTCTCACTAATTATGTGTGTGAATACATTTTTTTTAAACACACAAACGCACACACATATATATATATCTATTTGATTTTGCTTACTAATAATAGTATAAACACATGTATGTAATTGGGCCCAACTTGTGGGCTATCTTCTCTTTTTGTATGATTATAACTAATATTTACCAATAGAACCTTAATTTGCATATTCTTATTGTATTTTGACCGAAAATAGCTTTATTTGTATACAGGGCCCAGCAGCAGTGCAAAATGATGAATTAATCAGCACACCTCTGCTTTCAAAGATGTCATAGAATCTCCCTTAATGGAACACAAGTCTTGAAACAAAGTTGCCCATTTGACTGCTTTTCGCAGCCTACCAATCAGATAGCCACGCTGACGTGCATTTGGACCATCTGGCAGCGTTTTCTTTTCCATAGCATGGCTCCAAGCTCTTTCTGCTGTATAAAGAACCACATGAAGATACCTACAGTGTCCCCAACCACCACGCAGAATCAGGATAGATTAACGACCATTAAGAAATTAATAATGAGAGACAAAACAGCATATTTGTTCTTCAAATAGCAAAAGCGAAATTAAAACATTTACCAACTGTAATGTCAATCAAATTCAACCATTGGTCTTGGCAATCTATTACCTCATTTCAGTAACCATAGAAGCTGTAATCGCCCTTTTACCATATTTACCGCGGCCATGCGTGAATTTCAACAACTTGTACAATCTCCTTAGCCGAGCAGTACAGTACCTCCTAAAAAATTTGCAAAAACTGGTCAATTTCACATTCCCTCAATAGTACAACTCTATCACACCACATTTTTCACAAATTTAACCCTGCCACCTCTAATGATCAATGTCATAAATTCCCAAATAAACCTATATAGAGCACACTTACGCTTATATACTGGTAAAAATAATATGAAACGGCATTTCTTACAAAAATTAAACCTACTTCCCGGAACTTCATCGTACCAAATTACTCATAAACATATACCATAAGTGTACAAGCGTAGGTTATACCGGTAACGAGCGTAATCGCCAAACCGCAATCCATGCTGCATCTGAGCCGATTTCAAGAGTTGCAAAACTGTAAATTCACCAAAAAAAAAAAACTAAATTATCACCTCAAAATTAGCTGTCTAGAGCTTTATGGGAGAGTAAATTACCATTGACAGAGAACCTAGGGGTATTAATCTGATCAACGGATTCCGAATTCTGGTTGTCCACATCCATAGCGGAGGAGTTGTTCTCTTTGGCCATATCGTTAATGTGAAATTTCCGTCAGATCTTAAATTTGGCATCGCCTTTATCGGAATTAGCCCGACAGCTTGAATGTAGGTTGCTTGAAAGATTCTGAAGATGTCCAAAATGCCCCTGGCTTGTGGCACACTGCCGGCGGCGGGGTTTTCTGGTTTAGTCGCTGAGTCAACGTAAATGAAGCCTGTTTGGTCTCGACATAAAAATCCTAGTCTCCTCTGCGTTGTCTACTGTTTAATGGATTATGACAAGTACTGGAGTCTAATGTGTAATTCAAATTGTTTATGGGTACGTGGACAACAGACTTAAAGCCTAGGGGTCGTTGTTAAATTTATCGTAGCTTACTAATTTCGTCCATCATTTATATGAATTTAGTATCCACAACTAGTTTCTTCATTTTATTTAGGGAAAATCGTCCAAAACGTCCCTTATATTTTGTAAAATAACTTTTTTCGTCCCTCACTTTTAAAAGTGTAATTTTATATCTCTTACATATTCACATCGGACAAATTTAGTCCCTAACTAGGTTTTCGATCATTTTTTGACCGGAATCCATCATGTGCAAGACACATGATCATTTTTTAAGGGTAAATTTGTCAAATTATATTTTACATAATCTCATCTATAGTCCTCCACATTTTATAAAATAAATTTTTTCGTCCCTCATATTTTAAAAAATGATTTTTTTCATCCCTCACATTACACAAAATGAATTTCTCCATCCCTCACATTTCAAAAAATGATTTTTTCATTTCTCACTAATTATGTGTGTGAATACATTTTTTTTAAACACACACACACACACACATATATATATATCTATTTGATTTTGCTTAATAATAGTAGTATAAACACATGTATGTAATTGGGCCCAACTTGTGGGCTATCTTCTCTTTTTGTATGATTATAACTAATATTTATCAATAGAATCTTAATTTGCATATTCTTTTTGTATTTTGACCGAAAATAGCTTTATTTGTATACAGGGCACAGCACCAGTGCAAAATGATGAATTAATCAGCATACCTCTGCTTCCAAAGATGTCCTAGAATCTCCCTTAATGGAACACAAGTCTTGAAACAAAGTAGCCCATTTTACTGCTTTTCGCAGCCTACCAATCAGATTGCCACGCTGACGTGCATTTGGACCATCTGGCAGCGTTTTCTTTTCCATAGCATGGCTCCAAGCTCTTTCTGCTGTATAAAAAACCACATGAAGATACCTACAGTGTCCCCAACCACCACGCAGAATCAGGATAGATTAACGACCATTAAGAAATAAATAATGAGAGACAAAACAGCATATTTGTTCGTCAAATAGCAAAAGCGAAATTAAAACATTTACCAACTGTAATGTCAATCAAATTCAACCATTGGTCTTGGCAATCTATTACCTCATTTCAGTAACCATAGAAGCTGTAATCGCCCTTTTACTATATTTACCGCGGCCATGCGTGAATTTCAACGACTTGTACAATCTCCTGAGCCGAGCAGTACAGTACCTCTTAAAAAATTTGCAAAAACTGGTCAATTTCACAATCCCTCAATAGTACAACTCTATCACACCACATTTTTCACAAATTTAACCCTGCCACCTCTAATGATCAATGTCATAAATTTCCTCATAAACCTATATAGAGCACACTTACGCTTATATACTGGTAAAACAATATCAAACGGGCTGTCTTTTACAAAAATTAAACCTTACTTGCCCGAAGAACTTCATTCTGTACCATAATTTAATTTTTTTTTTGGCTCATAAACGTATACCATAAGATGTACAAGCGTAGGTTATACAGTTAACGAGCGTAATCGCCAAACAGCAATCCATGCTGCATCCTGAGCAGCCGATTTCAAGAGCTGCAAACTAGTAAATTCACTCAAAAAAAAAAACTAAATCTATCACCTCAAAGTAGCTGCTAGAGCTTTATGGACGGAGAGTAAATTACCATTGATAGAAAGAACCTAGGGCTGAATTAATCTGCATCAACGGCATTCCGAATTCTGGGTGTCCACAGTCGCATAGCAGAGAGTGTTCTCTTTGGCCATATCGGGTTAAATGGAAATCTCCGTCAGATCTTAAGTGGCGTCGTCTTATGGAATTAGCCCGACAGTTACTGGTAGGGCTTGAAAAGATTCTAAATTCAAAATGCCCTGGCTTGTGGCACACTGCTGGCGGCGGGTTTTCTGGTTGTAGGTCGCCCTGAGTGAACGATAAATGAAGCCATGTGGTCTCGACATCAAAAATCCTAGTCTCCTCTGCGTTTCGCTGCTTCTACTATTTAATGGATTATGACAAGTCTGCGAGTCGAATGTGTAATTCAATTGTTTATGGCGTATCACAGTGGACAACAGACTTAAAAGCGCTAGGGGTCGTTGTTAAATTTATCGTAGCTTACTATTTCGTCCATCATTTATATGAATTTAGATCGCACAACTAGTTTTTCATTTTTATTTAGGGACAAATCGTCCAAAACGTCCCTTACATTTCGTAAAATAACTTTTTTCGTCCCTCACTTTTAAAAGTGTAATTTTATATCCCTTACATTTTCACATCGGACAAATTTAGTCCCTAACTAGGTTTCGATCATTTTTTGGCCGGAATCCATCATGTGCAAGGCACATGATCATTTTTTAAGGGTAAATTTGTCAAATTATATTTTACATAATCTCATCTATAGTCCTCCACATTTTATAAAATAAATTTTTTCGTCCCTCATATTTTATAAAATGATTTTTTTCATCCCTCACATTACACAAAATGAATTTCTCCATCCCTCACATTTCAAAATATGAATTTTTCATTTCTCACTAATTATGTGTGTGAATACATTTTTTTAAACACACACACACACACATATATATATATATCTATTTGATTTTATTTAATAATAATAGTATAAACACATGTATGTAATTGGGCCCAACTTGTGGGCTATCTTCTCTTTTTGTATGATTATAACTAATATTTACCAATAGAACCTTAATTTGCATATTCTTATTGTATTTTGACCGAAAATAGCTTTATTTGTATACAGGGCACAGCAGCTGTGCAAAATGATGAATTAATCAGCACACCTCTGCTTCCAAAGATGTCCTAGAATCTCCCTTAATGGAACACAAGTCTTGAAACAAAGTAGTCCATTTAACTGCTTTTCGCAGCCTACCAATCAGATAGCCACGCTGACGTGCATTTGGACCATCTGGCAGCGTTTTCTTTTCCATAGCATGGCTCCAAGCTCTTTCTGCTGTATAAAGAACCACATGAAGATACCTACAGTGTCCCCAACCACCACGCAGAATCAGGATAGATTAACGACCATTAAGAAATTATTAATGAGAGACAAAACAGCATATTTGTTCTTCAAATAGCAAAAGCGAAATTAAAACATTAACCAACTGTAATGTCAATCAAATTCAACCATTGGTCTTGGCAATCTATTACCTCACTTCAGTGACCATAGAAGCTGTAATCGCCCTTTTACTATATTTACCACGGCCATGCGTGAATTTCAACGACTTGTACAATCTCCTGAGCCGAGCAGTACAGTACCTCCTAAAAAATTTGCAAAAACTGGTCAATTTCACATTCCCTCAAAAGTACAACTCTATCACACCACATTTTTCACAAATTTAACCCTGCAACCTCCAATGATCAATGTCATAAATTCCCTCATAAACCTATATAGAGCACACTTACGCTTATATACTGGTAAAAACAATATCAAACGGCATTTCTTACAAAAATTAAACCTACTTCCCGGAACTTCATCGTACCAAATTACTCATAAACATATACCATAAGTGTACAAGCGTAGGTTATACCGGTAACGAGCGTAATCGCCAAACCGCAATCCATGCTGCATCTGAGCGGATTTCAAGAGCTGCAAAACTGCAAATTCACCAAAAAAAAAAAACTAAATTATCACCTCAAAATTAGCTGTCTAGAGCTTTATGGGAGAGTAAATTACCATTGATAGAGAACCTAGGGCTATTAATCTGATCAACGGATTCCGAATTCTGGTTGTCCACATCCATAGCGGAGGAGTTGTTCTCTTTGGCCATATCGTTAATGTGAAATCTCCGTCGGATCTTAAATTTGGCGTCGTCTTTATCGGAATTAGCCCGACAGCTTGAATGTAGGTGGCTTGAAAGATTCTGAAGATGTCCAAAATGCCCCTGGCTTGTGGCACACTGCCGGCGCCCTGTCCTTGTGGTCTCGACATAAAAAAATCCTAGTCTCCGTCTGCGTTTGCTCTCACTGTTTAATGCGATTATTTAGACAAGTACTGCCGAGTCTAATTGGTAATTCAAAATGTTTATCGGGTACGTGAACAACAGACTTAAAGCCTAGGGTCATGTTAAATTTATCATGAGCTTACTAATTTCGTCCTATCATTTATTATGAATTTTAGTATCCACAACTTAGTTTTCTTCATATTATATTTAGGGAAAAATCGTCCAAAAACGTCCCTTACATTTTGTTTAAAATAACTTTTTCGTCCCTCACTTTTAAAGTTGTAATTTTATATCCCTTACATATTCATTATTCGACAAATTTAGCTTCCTAACTACGCGTTCTCGATCATTTTTTGGCCGGAATCCATCATGTGCAATGCCACATGATTCATTTTTTAAGCGGCTAAATTTGTTCAAATTATATTTTACATAATCTCATCTATAGTCCTCCACATTTTATAAAATAAATTTTTTCGTCCCTCATATTTTATAAAATGATTTTTTTCATCCCTCACATTACACAAAATGAATTTCTCCATCCCTCACATTTCAAAAAATGAATTTTTCATTTCTCACTAATTATGTGTGTGAATATATTTTTTTAAACACACACACACACATATATAAATCTATTTGATTTTGCTTAATAATAATAGTATAAACACATGTATGTAATTGGGCCCAACTTGTGGGCTATCGTCTTTTTTTTGTATGATTATAACTAATATTTACCAATAGAACCTTAATTTGCATATTCTTATTGTATTTTGACCGAAAATAGCTTTATTTGTATACAGGGCCCAGCAGCAGTGCAAAATGATGAATTAATCAGCACACCTCTGCTTTCAAAGATGTCATAGAATCTCCCTTAATGGAACACAAGTCTTGAAACAAAGTTGCCCATTTGACTGCTTTTCGCAGCCTACCAATCAGATAGCCACGCTGACGTGCATTTGGACCATCTGGCAGCGTTTTCTTTTCCATAGCATGGCTCCAAGCTCTTTCTGCTGTATAAAGAACCACATGAAGATACCTACAGTGTCCCCAACCACCACGCAGAATCAGGATAGATTAACGACCATTAAGAAATTAATAATGAGAGACAAAACAGCATATTTGTTCTTCAAATAGCAAAAGCGAAATTAAAACATTTACCAACTGTAATGTCAATCAAATTCAACCATTGGTCTTGGCAATCTATTACCTCATTTCAGTAACCATAGAAGCTGTAATCGCCCTTTTACCATATTTACCGCGGCCATGCGTGAATTTCAACAACTTGTACAATCTCCTGAGCCGAGCAGTACAGTACCTCCTAAAAAATTTGCAAAAACTGGTCAATTTCACATTCCCTCAATAGTACAACTCTATCACACCACATTTTTCACAAATTTAACCCTGCCACCTCTAATGATCAATGTCATAAATTCCCAAATAAACCTATATAGAGCACACTTACGCTTATATACTGGTAAAAATAATATGAAACGGCATTTCTTACAAAAATTAAACCTACTTCCCGGAACTTCATCGTACCAAATTACTCATAAACATATACCATAAGTGTACAAGCGTAGGTTATACCGGTAACGAGCGTAATCGCCAAACCGCAATCCATGCTGCATCTGAGCCGATTTCAAGAGCTGCAAAACTGTAAATTCACCAAAAAAAAAAACTAAATTATCACCTCAAAATTAGCTGTCTAGAGCTTTATGGGAGAGTAAATTACCATTGACAGAGAACCTAGGGCTATTAATCTGATCAACGGATTCCGAATTCTTTTCTTTATTTTTTATTTATTTTTTTTTTTTTTTTTTTTTTTTTTTTTTTCTTTGATGGCTTGTCCACATCCATAGCGGACGGAGTTGTTCTCTTGGCCATATCTGTTAATGTGAAATCTCCGTCAAGATTCTTAAATTTGGCGTCGTCTTTTATCGGAATTTTAGCCCGACAGCTTGAATGTAGCGTGGCTTGAAAGATTCTGAAGATGTCCAAATGCCCCTGGCTCTGACCTGGCACACTCGCCCGCGCGCGATGGTTTCTGCCGTTTAGTCGCTGAGTGAAACGTAAATGAAAGCGGACTGTTCGGTCGTCGCACCATAAAAATCCTAGTCTCCTCTGCCGTTGTCTACTGTTTAATGGATTATGACAAGTACTTGGAGTCTAATGCTGCTAATTCAAATTGTTTATGCGCGTACGTGCGACAACAGAATAAAGCCTAGGGTTCATTTTAAATTTATCATAGCTTACAATTTCGGTCCATTCATTTATATGAATTTTAGTATCACAACTAGTTTCTTCATTTTATTTAGTGAAAATCGTCCAAAACGTCCCTTACATTTTGTAAAATAACTTTTTTCGTCCCTCACTTTTAAAAGTGTAATTTTATATCCCTTACATATTCACATCGGACAAATTTAGTCCCTAACTAGGTTTTCGATCATTTTTTGGCCGGAATCCATCATGTGCAAGGCACATGATCATTTTTTAAGGGTAAATTTGTCAAATTATATTTTACATAATCTCATCTACAGTCCTCCACATTTTATAAAATAAATTTTTTCGTCCCTCATATTTTATAAAATGATTTTTTTCATCCCTCACATTACACAAAATGAATTTCTCCATCCCTCACATTTCAAAAAATGAATTTTTCATTTCTCACTAATTATGTGTGTGAATACATTTTTTTAAAAACACACACACACATATATATATATATATCTATTTGATTTTGTTTAATAATAATAGTATAAACACATGTATGCAATTGGGCCCAACTTGTGGGCTATCTTCTCTTTTTGTATGATTATAACTAATATTTACCAATAGAATCTTAATTTGCATATTCTTATTGTATTTTGACCGAAAATAGCTTTATTTGTATACAGGGTACAGCAGCAGTGCAAAATGATGAATTAATCAGCACACCGCTGCTTCCAAAGATGTCCTAGAATCTCCCTTAATGGAACACAAGTCTTGAAACAAAGTAACCCATTTGACTGCTTTTCGCAGCCTACCAATCAGATAGCCACGCTGACGTGCATTTGGACCATCTGGCAGCATTTTCTTTTCCATAGCATGGCTCCAAGCTCTTTCTGCTGTATAAAGAACCACATGAAGATTCCTACAGTGTCCCCAACCACCATGCAGAATCAGGATAGATTAACGACCATTAAGAAATTATTAATGAGAGACAAAACAGCATATTTGTTCTTCAAATAGCAAAAGCGAAATTAAAACATTTACCAACGCTTTAAGTGCAATCAAAATTCAACCATTAGGTCCTTCGGCAATCTATTACCTCACTTCGAGTGACCATAGAAGCTATAACTCGCCCTCTTTACTAGTATTTTACCACGGCCATGCACGTGAATTTCATACATGCACTTGTACAATCTCCTGCCGCCGAGAGTACCAGTACCTCCTTAAAAAAATTGCAAAAACTGCGTCAATTTCACATTCCCTCAAAAGTACAACTTCTATCACACCACATTTTTCACAAATTTAACCCTGCCACCTCCAATGATCAATGTCATAAATTCCCTCATAAACCTATATAGAGCACACTTACACTTATATACTGGTAAAAACAATATCAAACGGCATTTCTTGCAAAAATTAAGCCTACTTCCCGGAACTTCATCGTACCAAATTACTCATAAACATATACCATAAGTGTACAAGCGTAGGTTATACCGGTAACGAGCGTAATCGCCAAACCGCAATCCATGCTGCATCTGAGCGGATTTCAAGAGCTGCAAAACTGTAAATTCACCAAAAAAAAAAACTAAATTATCACCTCAAAATTAGCTGTCTAGAGCTTTATGGGAGAGTAAATTACCATTGATAGAGAACCTAGGGCTATTAATCTGATCAACGGATTCCGAATTCTAGTTGTCCACATCCATAGCGGAGGAGTTGTTCTCTTTGGCCATATTGTTAATGCGAAATCTCCGTCAGATCTTAAATTTGGCGTCGTCTTTATCGGAAGTAGCCCGACAGCTTGAATGTAGGTGGCTTGAAAGATTCTGAAGATGTCCAAAATGCCCCTGGTTTGTGGCACACTGCCGGCGGCGGGGTTTTCTGGTTTAGTCGCTGAGTGAACGTATATGAAGCCTGTTTGGTCTCGACATAAAAATCCTAGTCTCCTCTGCGTTGTCTACTGTTTAATGGATTATGACAAGTACTGGAGTCTAATGTGTAATTCAAATTGTTTATGGGTACGTGAACAACAGACTTAAAGCCTAGGGGTCATTGTTAAATTTATCATAGCTTACTAATTTCGTCCATCATTTATATGAATTTAGTATCCACAACTAGTTTCTTCATTTTATTTAGGGAAAATCGTCCAAAACGTCCCTTACATTTTGTAAAATAACTTTTTTCGTCCCTCACTTTTAAAAGTGTAATTTTATATCCCTTACATATTCATATCGGACAAATTTAGTTCCTAACTAGGTTTCGATCATTTTTTGGCCGGAATCCATCATGTGCAATGCACATGATCATTTTTTAAGGGTAAATTTGTCAAATTATATTTTACATAATCTCATCTATAGTCCTCCAAATTTTAGAAAATAAATTTTTTCGTCCCTCATATTTTGTAAAATGATTTTTTTCATCCTTCACATTACACAAAATGAATTTCTCCATCCCTCACATTTCAAAAAATGAATTTTTCATTTCTCACTAATTATGTGTGTGAATACATTTTTTTAAACACACACACACACATATATATATATATATATCTATTTGATTTTGCTTAA